AGGCCTTTTGGTACGTTTCTGTATCAGTTGATGTTGTGGTACTGATTGTAACACTGGAACTCTTGACTAGGTTATGATTGTCGTTTACTGTGTTATTATAGTCATTAAAATCGTTTCGTGAATCTTAGTATATCATTATAAATATAATTACCAAAAGATTTCACACATGCTGTCCAATTCTGAAAACAAAATGCTCAAAGAACGTTGTGCTTTTCAGTTTGCGCTATTTGTGTATACATGCCAAATTATTATCTAATTGCAATTGGGAAATTAGTAGTCATTGGGTTTGAGATTTGGCCATAATATTTTGATTATTTTCGTATGTTTTCGTAGAAAAATAAAGAGTAAATTGCAAAAATGGTCCCTGTGGTATGCAAAATTTTGGGGTTTTAGTCCAAACCTCGAGTTTTTTGGAACCATAGTCTTTTTGGAGTGGTTTCTATGTGGTTTTGGTCCCTGGACTTAACTCCCGTTAAGTTGGAACTGTTAAGCCCCCCTCACGTGCCTCACACGTGAGGGTAATTTCGTCATTTCATATGTCAGGGATCATTTTTGCATAAACGTTTTTTTGGATTAATTCCTTTTAAATACCCCCATTTCCTGCGATCTTCTTCCCCAACGTCTCTTTTTTTCTACCCTTCTTCTTGAGCTCTGCTACAACAAAAATGGTGCTATGTTTTTGTGGAAAAGTTGCTGTGGTGAAAACGTCTTGGACCCCTTTTGAATCCAGGAAGGAGATTTTTTGCATGCCCTATGAATGATTCCGTTTGTGGGTTTATTGGGTGGCTTGATCCCCCAATGTGTGCTAGGTCTAAAGCCATCATACCTGGTCTGCTAAGAAATTTGAATTCAGTGCAGGAACGGTGCAATGAGTTGGTTAGAGGTATGAACATGCTACAGGATCAATGCAATGGACTGATATGCAAGAACAACATTTTGGTGGCAAATGTCAGAGCATTGAAGGATGATAATTTGAAGCTGAAAATGTACATGTTTGGAAGTTGGTTTTTCTTTGTGATTGTATTCTTTTATATTTGGTTTGTGTAGGGGTATACTCTGAAGGGTGTTTTGGTCATTTTGTTGTAATTTTATGTGATCAAGTTTGTAGTGACTTATGATGATAATGATATATGTACAATTTTATGATGCAAGTGTAATGAATGTTTTACCAAAATGGTATGAATGTATAAGAATTAACATATGAATAGAAATGGTATGAATGTGTTACAAAAATATATATATTAGAACCAATTGTACATAACCAAAATGCACATTTCATTAAGATTTGTAATATAACAACCAAAGTTTCTAAACATAACAACCAAAGATTCTAAACATTACCAAAAGGGACACATTACCATACCTAAGATAACAACCAAGTTTTCATAACAACCAACCAAAAATTTTCAACAAAATATTGTAAACATAACAACCAAGTTTTCATAACCAACCAAAATCACAGAAAACTCCATGCATGCATGACACATTACTTCTTGGATTGATTCCCACCTTGCCCTTTACAGGTCCTAGAGTTGTGTCCCTTGTTCTTGCATTTGCTACAAGTAACACTGATATGCTTCCTTGATAGCTTCTGCACTCCATCATTTGTTGGTTTTTGGGAACCTCCTTCTTGTGCAGCATTCACTCCATCACCTTGACTTGCCTTCTGCTTTTTGCTTAACCTTTCACCCTCACTTTGTCTTCTCTTTTTCTTAGGCCTTCCCACCTGAGTGCGATGTGGAGGAGGGATTAGCTTTGTGGGACATTCACTTTTGGGCCACATGGATCTACCCTTAATTGGCTCCACCTTAAAAGAATAAGCCTTTTTCCATGTCTCTAGAAAATACACCTTGTGAACCCATTTGTAAATGTCAAGCTCAGCCTCTGGGTCTTTACTCATCTCATTCAGAGTTGCAATTGCATGTCTGCATGGAATTCCAATTAATTCCCATTTTCTGCAAGTGCATGTTTTGTTCCTAACATCAACCACATGTTGATCCTGCAAAGCTCCTGTGACTTGATACTTGTCTCCCCCATTCCACCTAGCAATGTATTGTGAAGCAACTGTTTTTCTTGCAGCTAGGATGTCTGTTGCTGTGGGTGTTAGTGGACCTTTAGCCTTTTTCATTTCCTTCATGACATTGCATATCCTCTTCATTAGATACTCCCTTATGAATTCTAAACATCCAATGACAGGTTTATCCCTTCCTTTCTCTATCTTCCCATTAAACACTTCACACATGTTTGATATCAACACATCAGAAACTGCTCTTCCTGTGTGTAAATTACAATTAAAAAACATTTAATACAAGTCACATACAAGTAAAACAGTTCACTAAGTGAAAGACATAAGGACCAAATTGGAATATATAGATTTACCTGAAAAATGACTCCTTGCCCAATGTTTAGGAGGAATTTGCTTCAACCATTCACATGCCTCCTTATCATACTGACTAAACTCCTTCATCAAATGTTCAAACTCAGGAATGGTGGTAGCTGATGCACACCTCCATAAGTGGTCCCTGTACTCTGTTTGCCTCCATCTTTTCCTCATATTGTCATGAATATGTCTGATACAATATCTATGCTCAGCATTGGGAAAAATTTGCTCAACTGCAGTATGTAAACCCTGCAAAAATTAATTTTCAATCATTAGAATTAACTTACAACCACACTTTAAATGACCAAATGTATAAAAACTACTTCCAACTTTACCTTTTGCCTGTCACTTATGAAAGTAAAATTTGAGTTTCTTCCAAGGTCCAAGTCATCCCCAAGGTTATCTAAAAACCATTTCCAGCTTTCTGTGTTTTCAGACTCAACAATCCCATATGCTAATGGGTAAATTCCATTATTGGAATCAAGACCAACTGCTGAAAGGACTTGCCCAGGGAATGGTCCTTTCATGAAGGCACCATCAAAACCTAATAAGTCCCTAAGGCATGCCTTGAACCCTTTTTTCAGTGGACCCAAGCACACATAAATTCTTCTAAACTGCCTAGTTGGGGAATCAGGGTTAGGCTCAGAACATACATCTATTTTCACTGTGGTGTCTGGGTTGGTGGCTTGAAGTTCGAGAACATAGTCCCTCAACAGTTCATACTGCTTTGTGTAGTCACCAGTTACATGCTTTCTTGCCTTATCCTTTGCCCTGAACACCTTGTCCATACTAACACCCACTTGGTAGGTCTTTTGAAAGTGATCTTGTATAGCTCTCAAAGGTATATCTGGATTCGCCTCAACTTGATCAAAGATTTTCTTGCTGATTAAAGAAGCAGTACAAGCCCTGAGTTTCCTTGTTTGCAAACATGTGTGAGTTTGGTTTAAGGTCCTTATAAACCAGTCGGATTCAGGATTTGACCTAGATGCATGAATGTACCAACCACATGTTACTTTTTGTGTCTTTAATTCTTTACCCTTTCTTTTTGAAGTGGTAGCTTGACTACCCACTTGGCCTTTATTGGTGACAGGTACAACACCTCTACACTGTGCCCTAAGCCTTACATTGTCATTTTTTTTAAAGAAAAGATTCCTTCTTGATTCTAGTGCATGCAGATCAATTGCCTCCTTTAATTCTTTTTTACTATTAAATTTATCTCCAACTGAAAAAGATTGTTTATGTACTACCCCAAGACTGCACCTTTTTTCTTTTCTCAAATTCTTGATAAGAGCTCTTCTCTCTCTGTCTTGGTCGGATCCTTCATCCAAAGATTCAAATTCCTCATTGTTAATCACTTCCATATCTTCAGGTTCATGCCCATGAACAACATTTATACAAGAACCTTCCACATCACTTTCAACATTGAGAGTGAAGTCTCCCATGTCCACATCCACATCCTGTATATTGTTGTCAACATCCATTATGTCATCCATATGATCTTCATCTTCTATTTGTCTCTCATCTTCTTCATACTCTGGATCACTATTTTCAGATTCATCATACTCTTCAAAATTTGGATCACTTTCTTGAGATTCATCATCCTCTTCATACTCTTGATTACCCTCTTCAGATTCTCCATCCCCTTCATACTCTGCATTATCATCATCACTCCCAATCAAATTTTCCATAAGGTTATCAAATAACTCATTCAATTGTTCATCAGCATTATTAACAGGGGGGTGTTGTAGCCTTCTTCATCAAAAGTTGATGCCTCTTGAACAACATTTGCAGCCTCCCTAACACCATCCATCTCATCAATATGAACACAAGTTGCTGCCTCCTGAACATTAGTTGAACCATCCAGATCATCATTCTTTTCCTTTGAAATGTGAACAACCTCATCAATATAATCTAAATTAAGCCTTTTGCTACAAGAACTTTCACCTATTTTGGAATTCCCAACCCTACCCCTTCTATACTCTGGTGAGAAACTATCATTCTTACTCCCAAAAAGAATCAGAGACATGAACTCACCAATAGGCTCACCATTACCATGGTTCACATTTTTCATTGGAGAATCTGCATGAACTTGACCCTCAACTTCAGCCCCTTGATCATCATTTTCTGGTAATTCCTCAATGACAACTTTACCCTTTGCATTTGGTGACATGAAGTAAGTCAATAAATTTGTCTTTCCATGCTCTGTGTACACCTCAATCAGCTTGTTATGTGCAATGTATTTAGAAAGGTTGATCACATCCTGATCATTCCCTAAAGCTCTAAGACCAAATTGAAAGTCACCATTGGGTATCCTAAAATGGTAGTATATAACTGGGGATTCATCAGCGAATTCAGAATTTCGTGGGTCTGGGTAACCTAGGTCAAGCATTATGGCATCAAGTTCATGCACAGAAAACTCATCAATGTCCAGATAATCAACATAACGCACTTCACCTCCAATGTACTTTATATCAGGTAATTTAGTAAATTTCCCACCGTGATGAAGCTTAATACTAAACCATGTGGGTGCACCAGCTAAAAATCAAAATTATACATATTAACAAAGTTAAAATTTTGCATTTTTTTGTTCTAAATCAATAAGAAAATGCAAAGTATAAAAGTTAAAGAAAACAGAGCAGCTTACCATATACAGTTGATACATCAACAACTTCGCGTTTTGGTCTGATATGCCACATTACGAACACCATTTCGTATTAAACGTATGCCCTTATATGTGTAGTGTCGATTATCTTGTTTGGATAAGCAACGAGGGTTTTTTGCAGGTTCAATGGAGCAGAAGCAAGAAGGAGGGAGTTGGGGAGTTGACGAGTGTTGGGGAAAGTAAATGAGGGGTAAATGTTAATCAATCCAAAAAAACGTTTATGCAAAAATGATCCCTGACATATGAAATGACGAAATTACCCTCACGTGTGAGGCACGTGAGGGGGGCTTAACAGTTCCAACTTAACGGGAGTTAAGTCAGGGACCAAAACCACATAGAAACCACTCCAAAAGGACTATGGTTCCAAAAAACTCGAGGTTTGGATTAAAACCCCAAAATTTTGCATACCACAGGGACCATTTTTGCAATTTACTCAAAAATAAATTATAAAAATTATCCCTGCAGTTTACATAAAAGTATGTGTAGATTTTTTTCAGGAACAATCCATGTATTTAAAAATTTACAAAAGTACTCTCCGCCTAATAGAAAAATAGAAAAGTTACAGATTGAGACACCACAAAACGGAGGTTAGAATATAAAAAAGCTCTTGTTGTTTAAAGATAAATGCGAATATTTGAATATTAGGTGTATATATTATATAGGTTCATTTAAAAAAATTTAAATATGAAAAATTATAAAAAATTAAATATGAAAATTCTAAATATATGAAAAAATTTGAATTTATAAGAAAAATACTGAATTATTAAAATTAAAATGTTTTTTCACTTTTAAATTTAAACAAATAATTTAGACAAATAAACAAAAAAAAAAAATAATAATAAAGTTTTAATTTAGAAATTTGAAATTAAAAGGAAAGTCAATTATTGAAATTGATATGCATTCATTATTACATTTAAATATTATGTGTTTAATATAATGGAAAAAACCACAAAATGTTATGTAGAAAAAATTAATTGAAAATAACCACAAAATTACATATGACCAAATCAATAAGAATGTGACATTTGATAATAAAAAATTTTCATTTATTTTCTAACTTTCAAGTTCTATCATACATTTGATTTGAAGTTTTTTAGATTCAAATTCTATCATCAATTGAATAAAAAAAGGTTATAAACTATTAAGATTTAAAAAAACCAAAAACCAAAAACGAAATTGAGCTTGAGACTGACGTTAAAAATGTTCGGGTTTTATGTTAAGTGTGGTGGTCATGTCCAACTTTTGTTTTTTGTTTCACTAAAGCCGTACTAACTTTTTGGGTAAATATGGAAAATTTTATACATGATCCGTTTTAGGTATTTTGCTCGGATAAATGTAATGTGTATATGAATTTAAAGAAAATAAGAAAAATCACGAGGCTTTTAGTGGAAATTGAACAAATCATTGTTTAAGGAATAAATCTAGGAAGGTTTTGTAAGTTAAAATGTGTCCATGATGGAAGTGGTGTTTAGATTTTGTAAGGTTTTTTATTAAAAAAATGGACTTCTTCTAAAGTCTAATTGTGTATTTAATGAAAATTGTGTGAATTTGATATGACTGTGTAGATAATCATGTTAGAATTATATCCAATAAGGTTTTATTAGTGAGGTAAGATTATTAACAAGTTTTGATTGAAACATATTTTCCAAATTGGAATGAATACATCAAACAAAAAAATCGACTCTGCAGTGAAATTTTCGACAGTTTTCATGGAATTTTATTAAATAACATATGTAAGAGTTTTTACATGTGTTAGAGAAAACTAATGAAGATGTTCCAACAATATGGATATATAAAAAATGTATTTGGAAAAACAAATTTGTACAAAAAGTTTTAGAGTGGAACATGTGATGAGAAAGCAAACATTTATGTTTCAACTTCGAAAAGATAAGACCCAAACCTTTCACCATTATACTATTGTTACTTGTCTTAATATCATTATCCCAAGTCTATATGACTTTTCCACTATTGTCCATGCTAAGGCTATTCTGACCAACTTGCACTAGTACAGTCTTATAACTCTTTATGGTGGTCCACAGTAATAAATATGAAATATCAAAAGATGATATTTATGTCATATGAATTTCACAATATTATAATAAATATGATGATAGTTAAAATATAATCAACTTGATTAATAAATGTAGAAACAAAGTAAAACACATAAACATTTAATAAACTTAGCTCATAACTGATAGCTGAAAGTTGTAGTTTTTTATTTGTTATATACGTGCAAAAATAGATGAAAATTTTATAATATGTAAAATTATATAAAAAGATAATTGTTTAAAAACGATAAATACAGAAATACTATGGAAATTAATTAAAAAGTCCAATAGTTTGTTCTTAAACACTACATGAAATAATTTTAATTTTTGAGATTTTTGTTTAAATTAAAAGTTAAAAACTCGACTCTAATAATTTTAACTTTTGAGATTTTTGAGATTTTAACTAATGGTAAGAATAAGAATTTAACCGTATCATTTGGATTAAGAGAAAACATAAAAAAAAGTAAGAAACCAAAATAACTATACATTTTTGCTTAAAAATTAAAATGAATATATTAAAATGGAAAACATCGAGAGAAAAAATAAGGACCAGTTGATATCGAACCAAGATATTTATCCTAAAAGTCTATGCACTCACAACGACTCATTTAGATACAATTTGTACAATAGACGCTCCTATTAATTTATAGAGCATATTTTAGGCACAAAAAAAAACATGGATGCACATCCGAAAGGATCAAACAACGGTGTTTAGATAACTAGTGGTGTGCCCTTAACCAAATGCACAAAAATAATTTTTAGACAACACACAACACACGCTATATATAATACTAACATTATTAGTTATTAAGTTAATCAGATGCTTTTTGGGCCTATTTTTCCGAGGCCCTAACACCCCTAGGGCCGACCCTTAGTAAACACAAGCGGTTAGTTTAATTAATATCCTATGTTTAAATCATGATCGATTCGTGGATTAATAGGGATACTATTTAATTATAATTTATAAAATATTGATGTTAAAAATACATATCTTAAAATAAAAATAAAGTATAAGCATATTTATTTTATACTAGGTGTGTGACCCGTGTATTATACGAGTTTATTAAAAGATCCAAAAATAAAAAGGTGTGAACAAAAAAGACCATTCATGTAAGTTTTGGTAACCACAAAAACCATGTTCATAATAAAATAAGTAACAACTGAGTTGACATTTGGTAAATCACATTGACCATTTATGTAATTTAATCTTAATTAACTTATACTAATAAAATTAATTAATATGAATTCACAAATGGAAGGGATTATCTATATTAATATACTTATACAATAATTAATAATTAATATATTAATAGAAAAATGAATTTACAATTATGTATATTAATTAATATACTAATAAAATTAATTAATATGAGATGATATTTAATAGGTGAAATTTGATTAAAAATGAAAAAATATATAAAAATAATAAATAGATATTAAATAATTCAAAAAATCTAAAAAAAGATAAACGCTCAGAAATAACATTAAATATTTTTATTTATCAGGAATAATTGAAAAATAAGAAACAGTATTACAGTAATTGCCTTTTTAGGGTTATAAAATCGTTAAACCTGTGCCGACAGTCCGACATCCCCACTAGCCACAATCACCCTCAAAATCCTTTTATTTTTTGGTCAAATTCTTTATTCCCTCTTTTCCCTGTTTCTCCATGAAGACTAAGGTCTCACTTCTGACCTCAGTTCTTCATCATCGTCTCCACTCTAAGTCACTAAATTTTGTTGGATCCTTACCCCATTTTTACCCCTTATCACACCCACAAATACATTTCACTGATTCAGCCAAACAACAAGATGATCAATTGGCTATTTGTGTTCATGATTCAAGAGCACAAGTTCTTGATCAGTTTTCCTGGATACCCATTTCAAAGATTCACACAGAATCCAACCGTAAACATGAAACCGATAAGCAAGATGACGATGATATATGGCTGATAATGAAAGATGAAGCAAGATCTGATGTTGATCAAGAACCCATACTATCAGACTACTATTCTAGATCAATCTTATCTCATCATACCCTGGAGAGTGCTCTATCTCATCATCTTTCCACAAAGCTCGGAAGTTCTAGTCTCCCTAGTAGAACCCTCCATGATCTTTTCATGGATGTACTCACAGGCGATCAAGATATTGTTGGAGCTGTAAAAGATGATCTAAAGGCCGTAAAAGAAAGAGACCCAGCTTGTTTGAGTTATGTTCACTGTTTCCTTCATTTTAAGGGGTTTCTTGGTTGTCAAGCTCATAGAGTAGCACACAAGCTATGGTCACAAAACAGAAAAATCTTGGCGGTTTTGATCCAGAATCGGGTTTCTGAGGTTTTAGCTTTGGACATTCATCCCGGAGCTAAGATCGGAAGCGGGATATTATTTGATCATGCCACCGGAGTTGTTGTTGGAGAGACGGCAGTGATCGGAGACAATGTATCGATTTTGCATAATGTGACATTGGGTGGGACCGGGAAGAGTTGTGGGGACAGACATCCGAAGATTGGAGATGGGGTTTTGATAGGGGCAGGGACTTGTGTTTTGGGTAATGTTAGGATTGGTGAAGGGGCAAAAATTGGGGCAGGGTCAGTGGTGTTGAAGGATCTGCCCGCTCGAACTACTGCTGTTGGGAATCCTGCTAAGTTGATTGGAGGGAAGGATAATCCGGTCAAGCTTGATAAAATTCCTAGCCATACTATGGATCATACTTCACATATTGAGTTTTATGATTATGTTATTTAGAAATTAAGAATTGAATTGTTTATCATCATAACTTTAGTCATGCTACTGTTAAAAGTATCATGTATCAAATCAAGTGAAAAATCGTCTTTTGCTTCACTATATTATACTCTAAAGTCAACTCTATCTTTTGATTTTCTTTCCCTTGTTTGCTGTTGTGTGGGTTAGATACCTTTGTTGTAATTATGATGGACTGTCACTTTGTTTATTCTGATAAAATCAAACAGATTGCTCCGAAGGAATCGGTTTTATGGAAAACGACACGAATCAAACCGTCTTTAAATTTCTCTTTCATATGAGATTTGAATTTGAATCCTTCAAATTTGTGGGATTGAATCAAGATGCCGAATTTTACTATGATAACTTTTGTCTTCTTACACTTGTCCGTCTCTGTAAGTACTTACGTTTGACCGACTCAATGCAAGCATAATTGATTAACTACAGTATTCCTATATATATGTTCCTTGAAATTTGGGAGGTAAAATACTGGATTACCTTGAAAACCAGTTTAACTTGCATCATGGAGCCTGTAATTTTTTCATCCCAAATGATAATCTTTTATTTTTTCATCTTAATGTTCATGTTGTTGAGGCTGTCCAAAAGAAAATGTTCAAATCCATGTCTACCCCCGGGGCCATGGAAACTTCCTATCATAGGAAATATCCATCATCTTGGGAGCTGTCTTCCACATCAGCGACTGAGAGAATTGGCCAAGACATATGGGCCTCTGATGCACCTGCAGCTTGGAGAGCTTTCTGTGATGGTTGTTTCTTCACCTGAAACAGCAAAGGAGGTTATGAAAACTCATGATGTAAACTTTTCTGATAGGCCTTACCTTTTTGCTTCATCTGTGATATGTAATGGTGCTACAAACCTTACTTTTGCTCCATATGGAGATTACTGGAGACGGCTTCGCAAGATTTGCTCCATGGAGCTTTTGAGCCCAATGCGGGTCCAGTCATTTACGTCTACAAGGGAAGAAGAGGTCTTAAAGTTCATCAAGTCTATCAGTGAACATGTAGGATCTCCGATCGATCTTAGCCAAAGAATATTCTCATTAACGTATGGGATCACTGCCAGGGTGGCGTTTGGTAAGAAATGCAAACATCAAGAATCTTTCATCGCACTTGTCAAGGAAGCTTCAGCTGCAGCTTCAGGATTCAATGTTTCAGACCTTTACCCTTCTTCTACCATGCTTCCTTTGCTCACTGGATTTAAGGCAAAACTTGAGAAAATTCGTGGGAGGTTTGAGGAGATAACCGGTAACATCATTGAAGAACATCAGGCTAAAAAGGGGGAAACTAATGTGGGTGATGTAGATGAAGATCTTGTGGATGTTCTTTTGAGATATCAGGAGCATGGTGATGTTCAAACATTTCCTTTGTCTATTGCTAACATCAAAGCAGTCATCTTGGTTAGTAATTCAATCCTATGCTATAAGACTATAAACAAGTTTCAATGCTTTAATCAAAAACACCGATAACACACGACTGAAAGGGTATTGGCTTTTGCAGGACATCTTTAGTGGTGGGAGTGAAACATCTTCTACAGCTGTAGAGTGGGCGATGTCCGAAATGCTGAAACACCCAAGAATCTTGGAAAAGGCACAAACTGAGATAAGGGAAGTTGTCACCAGAAGAGGGAGAGTTGATGGGACGTGTATTCAAGAACTCGTGTTCCTAAAACTGGTTATTAAAGAAACTCTAAGACTACACCCTCCAGCCCCTCTGTTGCTTCCCAGAGAAAGCAGGGAGAGATGTGAGATAAATGGTTATGAGATACCAGCCAAAACCAAAGTTATTGTGAATGCATGGGCCATTGGTCGAGACCCTATTTGGTGGAAAGATCCTGAGAGGTTTCATCCAGAGAGATTCCTCAGCAGCTCAACAGATTGTTACAAAGGACTTAATTTCGAGTACATACCGTTTGGTGGTGGAAGGAGAGTGTGCCCTGGAATGTCATTTGGATTGGCAAATGTGGAGCTTCCACTCATCAAATTGCTCTACCATTTTGACTGGAAACTTCCTGATGGAATGACAAGTGAAGACCTTGATATGAATGAAACGTCTGGTGTCACGGTTAGAAGAAAAGCAAACTTGAATCTGATACCAACTGCCTACCATCCTGTGCCTGCATAAAATAGATCCTTGGAAGAAAAGACACCACAAATACTTGTTAGACAGCATAATGTCACATTGTAAACTACAACTTTGATTGTAATGAGCTTCCACATTTTTTTTTCTATCTCGTGTTATATGTTCATATCAATGTGTTTTACTTCAGAAATCATATCAAGGGTGTACCTCCAACTCCAAACAAATGTAGACCTTCGGCATATGAAACGTAAGAAAACAAATCCACAATGGTGAATAACACACACACACACAGAGTAAAGTCATGATTATTAAGCTTGCACATCCTTTTATATGAGGCCATGTCCTCAGTAACCTCACGTTATCTTCCCACTTCATTGTGATCTTCACCACCCTCCTCACTGCAACTGTCACTTGCCTCCTAGTGACACTTTTAACCACCACCATATTCTTTACCTCAATTTATTGGTTATTGATGTCACTCCCATCGAATTCTTGATTTCGTGTTTGATTACTTGTAAAAAGTAACGTTGTATTTTTAGGCTAGCTTCTAGTTAGTTTGATCTTAAAATCCGATGGTTGTAATAAAAAAAACTATTTTTTAATATGTTAATATATTTATAATGCAATAACTTAATGTAATAAGCTAATTTAATAAGTAAATACAAATCATGTAATAATAAGTCCCACACATGGTGGTGTTCTTGTTATTAATATATTGCAGTTTACTACACCAAACATCGTTTTTTATTGACAAATTATTGCAGTCATAATCTCAATATAGTAGGTTAAAATCTATGAAACAGCATCTTCTGAATTGACTTAAAGCATGTACAGAGTCAAGAAGGAAGATAACAATATAAACATAATCATTCTTCAGTCTTCACCATTGAGATCTTGTTAGTTTTCATATTCCTTATTTTCTTTTCAAATTCCCATAACTCCTGATGGAGCTGAGCTTCGGCTTGTTTCCAATCCTTTCTGCGTTCACACTGTTGGTATTGATGATTCTGAAACTATTGAAGCAATCTAAACCAAAGTTACCTCCAGGGCCATGGAAGCTTCCTGTTATAGGAAGCGTTCTTCATCTTGCTGGATCACTTCCACACCATCGCCTAAGAGACTTGGCAGATAAACACGGAGCTCTGATGCATCTCCAGCTTGGAGAACATTCTGTTTTTGTCGCCTCATCACCCGAAACAGTAAAACAAGTGATGAAAACACATGATGCCATTTTTGCAAATAGGCCTTTCCATCTTTCTGCGTATGTGATGGGATATAATGGTGCAGGCATCATGTTTTCTTCATACGGGGAATACTGGAGGCAGCTCCGTAAGATTTGCACTTTGGAGCTTTTGAGTAGTAAGCAAGTCGAGTCATTTGGATGGGTAAGAGAAGAAGAGGTGTCAAAATTCATCAACTCCATTAGTGAAGGATCATTCATTAATCTTGGAAAGAGTCTCTCATCCCTAATCTATGGGATCACTGCAAGAGCGGCTTTTGGTAAAAAAATGTAAAGAGCAAGATGCATTCATCTCGCTTGTTAATGAAAGCGTAGCTCTTGGAGCAGGATTTGGCATTGCGGATCTCTTCCCTTCATGGAAACTACTTGGCTTCTTTAGTAAAACCCGACCAAAACTTGACAGGGTTCATCAACAATTTGATCAAATTCTGAGTAATGTTATTGAAGAACACAAGATTTCAGCAGATGGTGAAGATGAAGCGGATAAAGACCTAGTAGATGTTTTGTTGAAAGTTCAGAAGCGTGGTGACCTTGGAATTCCCTTATCTACTGATGACATCAAAGCAGTTATCTTGGTTAGTAACCATCTTCATGCATCTGGTTATAATACCTTAAATTTGTTCATTGTTATACCATTCACAGGATATCTTCAGTGCTGGAAGTGAATCATCTTCTATAACAGTTGAGTGGGCAATGTCTGAACTACTAAAGAATCCACAAATAATGAACAAGGCACAAGCTGAGGTTAGACAGGTGTTTGACAAACGAGGAACATTTGATGAAAAAGGTATTCAAGGGATTAGAATACCTAGAATTAGTCATAAAAGAAACTTTGAGGTTGCACCCTCCAGGCCCTTTGGGACTGCCTAGAGAAAACAGTGAGAGATGTGAGATGAAAGGATTCGAAATACCTGTGAAGAGCAGAGTGATAGTGAATACATGGGCAATTAACAGAGATCCCAAGTATTGGGATGAACCTGAAAGTTTTCATCCAGAGAGATTCAGAAACAGCAGTTTGGATTACAGAGGACTTGACTTCAAATATATACCTTTTGGAGCTGGAAGGAGAATATGTCCTGGGATTTCATATGGATTAGCAAATGTTGAGCTTCCATTGGCATCTTTACTCTACCATTTTGACTGGAAACTGGCAGATGGAACAGACAACAAGGATCTTGATATGACTGAAGCCTTTGGTGTAACCATTGGAAGAAAAAATGACCTTATCCTGATTCCAACAGCTTATTATAAGCCTGTTTACAAAAGTATGTAACATAGATCAGGTTGTATAATTGCTTTCTATCCCATTCGATTTGGTCAAGTCTACCGTGGCAGGAGATAAGTTCAAGATTGCTTTGGGGATAAGTTTTAAGATTGCTTCAGGATTCACGTTTCCTTTTTATTAAAGTGTTAGTTTTGGATTTTGTTTAGGATTTCTGATATTAAGGATTTCTTTAGGTTTGGCTGGACATTATAAATAATGCCCCATAGGAACGTATATTTATTATGCATGAAATAAAAAGTCTCTGACTATTCTTTGGAGAATTACCTGTTTCTCGAAACACAGGTGGGACGAACTGAGATTCCAACCTCCGGGAAGGATTTCGTACTTATTATGTGATTGATCAAGGAGACAATAATCATTAATAACCACCAAACCACTTAAATTATTCTGTAAAAAATATTGTGGATGCTTAGGGCACTACATTGACACTTGAAAGTTGAAACATCTTAACTGTAACACAGTTATAGAACAAGTAGAAGGCCATACTACCATATAGAGTATAAGCAACAAAATAGTCACTTGGATTCAATACAACAAGTTTATACTATACATTCATAGTGTTGGTTCCTGATGAAGCAATTGAGTTGTAGATAATACAAACCAATAATGGAACAATAATCAATTAAAACCCTAAAACAACATAATCAATGGAATGTAAAATTTCATTTCATCAATGGAAAATTACACTACAGTTTCTAAAGCGGGTGAAGAACACATGTACAATTCTTACCAATCTAATTCAAATTGAAAACTTAGATTTGATATGAATTCTCACGCGGTTACAAAAAACTCACACAAAAATTGCTCTCAAAATATCATCCTTAAAGACAAAGATCGTTACCCCTTATGAGAGAGAGAGAGAGAGGGTTTTATTTTATATATGTTGTTTGTAGATGAATTTTGTAAATATATGCTGTTGAAGATTCCATGACATGCGAGCATCAGTGTTTTCCCAAACCCAAAGTGAGGCTGACTGCAACAGCTTGAAGTACTTCTTAGACTGCCTAAGGACGGACGACGGAGTGGGGTGAGGCAAAGGAGGGAAAGGAGTGCGGGAAAAGGAGCCCTCTTGAACACCACACTCCGTGGGTGAGGAAAAGGAGTGCGGGAAAAGAGGTGGCGGAGGGGTCCTACACTTTCTTTTCTCTTTTGATTGGTAAGGTATTATTATTATTATTATTTTTTTTAAATTTATAAAATTATATACTTATTATAAAAATATAAAAAATATATCAAAATTTATGGTTTTTAATTACCTACAAAATGAGTATAATATATGTATGAAATATATTTAAAAAAAAAAGTGAGGGAAGGGCTTCCCACTGATTTCTTGATTTTTTGGTGAGGGAAAGGAAAGTGAGGGAAAAAGGGGTATGACCCACCAAAAGTGAGGGAAGAATCCCTCTCACATCCTCCGGTCTAAGAAGCCTTGCTAAGTTGTCAGTTTGAAGATAAAGTCTCAATAGAGTAACCATCATCATTAAGCTTGATCGATATTTTTAGTCGGTTTCTATTAGACTTGTAATGTAATCATCAAATTTATCTCAGTAGAGAGCCCCAAGGCCGATAAAGGTTTAAAAGTCCATATTAGCAGTTATAGAGTTTGAATAGCCGACTTATACACCCCAAGAGTATGAGAAGATACACAATCAGTCTAGAAAAAAATTGACTGGTTTACACCGAACTAATTATCATGGCGTTATCATTTCTTTCAAGGTACGGTTCTTTCATTCAACAATTTCATTGGATTGAGGTGAACAGGGTGATGTGAATTCATGATGAATTCCATTTTTTGCACAAAATTCAGCATAAGGATTCTCCACCTCTATCACTTCTAACTACTTTAATTCTCTTGTTGAGTTGATTCTCAACTTCATTTTTTGTACAAGACAAACTTGTCTATTGCTTCATCTTTACTTTTGAGTAAATATATGTAACAATATTTCGTGCTATCATCGATGAACGTAATGAAGTATTTGTTCCCACCTTAAGTAGGAATTGACTTTAAATCACACACATTAGTGTGAATTAAATCAAGAGGTTCGATGTTTCTTTTGATTGTTTGGAAAAATAATCTAGTTTGTTTGGTTTCAACACATGTGGGGCATTTGTAATTTGAGTCAATATGAAGTTTTGGTATGTAGTCTCGTTTAATTAGTCCCTTAATAGAATTGTAATTTACATGTCTTACGCGACCATGCCAAACATTTGAACACCCAAGCAAATAAGCAGAACTAAAACTTACATTATTAATTTTGTTTGTCACAATTACATTCAATTTGAACATGCCATTCAAGGCATATCCTTTCCCCACAAACATACCATTTTTGGACAAAACAAATTTGTCCGGCTCAAACACAAGCTCAAAACCAAATTGATTCAACAAACCACCCGACAATAGATTCTTACGAAGTTCAGGAACATACAAAACATCCTTAAGTTTCACATATTTCCCCGAAGTCATTTTTAGAATAACATCACCAACACCTTTGATATCCGCGGTAGCTGCATTTCCCATGTAGAGCTTTTCACCATCTTCAACTTCCTTGTAGGTGTTGAAAACACTCTTATCATGACACACATGGCGGTAGCCCCCGTGTCAATCCACCACTCCTTTGAATTTGTATTCATGAGGTTCACTTCAGAAACCATAGCCGTGAGATCAGTTATCATGACCACCAACTCCATGTTATCATTCACCATGTTTTCTTGCCGATTTTCCCGCTCAGGTTGCGGGCACTCCGAAGCCGCATGACCCGGTTGGCCACAGTTGTAGCACTTGAACTTCTTCTTGAAAGTTCCTACCTTGGGGCCTAAGTTTTTTTTCCCTTTGCTTTCCTTTTCTGAGGTCCCTTGCTTTTGCTCTTGGAAGTTTGACCAGATTCAACCATATGAACCTTAGAAGATTCAACTTCACTGCCTTTCTTCAAGGCCATTCGATTGTCTTCTTCAATGCGAAGACGCACCACCAGTTCCTCCACAGACATCTCCTTTCGCTTATGCCTAAGGTAGTTTTTGAAGTCTATCCAACCGGGAGGAAGCTTTTTTGAAACATCCCAAAAATCGTAACCAAAAATTTTGTTTTTAAATCATTAACCAAGCCATAATTATAAAATCAATCATCCATAAACATTAGTCATTATATCAAATCAGAGGTTCATTTCAAAACACTTGTTCATTTTATCAGAGTAAACATCCCAGGCTAAAACTCCTTTGGTGGGTGTCATGTGATCAACCTGAGCTCTTCCCTCCACTACTGGGAATACCTGAAACCAAAACTGAAAACTATAAGCACGAAGCTTAGTGAGTCTCCCCATACTACCACATACCATACACATAATCACATAAAATTGGGCCTAGCCCACTGCATTGAGACGTGCCTGGCATCAGACCGTAATCCGGTACACATATAAACATAAACACATAACATAAATATAACTTTGGGACTACTCCTAACTGCACCGGGATGAATCCCGACATCAGACTCCTATCCGACATCGGGCTCACCCCGGCATCCGACCGCATCGGGCATCAGACTCACCCCGACATCAAGCTTACCCCCGACACATTCACAACATAGCATATATATCATAAACACATAACATAATCACATAATCTGCACTGGCTTGCCCCGACATCGGACCGAAGCTCGGAACATATAACATATAACATATAAACTAGCATACATCGGGCTTGCCCCGTAACACATAATACATGGAATAATAGCTAACATACATCAGGCTTGCCCCGACAGCGGGCTTACCCTGAAACACATAACTCACAACATGTAAACTAACATACATCGGGCTTGCCCCGACATCGGACCGAAGTCCAGAACACATAGCACATATCATATAACCTGCATGAATCACAAAGACATCACGCATACTTAAATACTTCTCGGGACCCCCTGACATTGGACCGAAGTCCGGAAACATATAAATTGCATTGGGCTGACCCCAACATACTGCAACTACATACATGGGCCGACATTGGTGCCTTAGACCTGTCCTTACTAGAGGAAAACTCACCTTGCACTGCTGAAAATTCGCTGATGTTCCACTGGCTGCTAGCTGGAAATTCCCGAACTAGTGATCCTCCGGCTCCCGAGCTACCAAAACCAAAATATCATTTTAGCCCATACCAATAATTCTCTTTATGGTAAAATGACCATTTTACCCTCCTAGTCCAACCTACTCCAAAAACTAAGGCCCAACACTAAGTAAGCTCCCCAAGCCCACTAGCGGCCCACTAATGGCCCAATTTGCTAAATTGGGCCCCAATCCCTCTATTAGGCCTTTCCCTAAGCCCAAATATATTCTTGGCCCAACTTATCTGACTTCTAATGGCCCACCAAGGCCGAAAGACCCAAAGCATGACCCAAACCGTGGCCCAAAAGCACAAGGTCCAACTGACAGAGTATGCTGGGTGTACATCCACGTACGTTAAGCGTAATGACTAAGTGGTGCGTACGTTGGGAGTAGCTTCACGTACGCGCAACATAACCCCCCTGCTAAGTCCATTTCTCATTAAGTGCTTAATACTCCACTTTAAAAGCTACAATCACAGATCCTGGTCCTTTTCTATGTCTTAACCCATAAAGTCATTGACTTTGTGACTTTACTTGGCCCAAACAAACCCAAACTCCAAATATGATATTCTACTTCCATACAATGTCTAGATCTCATGCATGAACACAAATGAGCCATCAAGATGGCAACTTTCTACATTAGGGACTCATTTAGAACTGGAAATAGCAACTCTAAGACTAGGTACCGAATTTGCATCATAAAGCTCTAATCTTGGGACCAAAAAGACTCCAAAACCAAACAACACTAGATCTAAGCATGCTTAAGGAAAGTTTATAGCTTTATACCTCCAGGAAGTCTGAAATGAAGCAATAACCCCAGATCTATATCTTCTCCTTCAGTCCACCACCTTCCTTGTTCTTCACTTGCTTGAGAAAAT